TAAAATATCTTAGCATTTCCAAAAAAAAAAACGTAGGACCGACGTTTCTTAAACACTACAAAATATTCATTTTATTTTCATTTAAATAGTTTACGGGAACTGAAGCGCTTCAGTACACATGGAACGAAGTGTAGAGATAAAACTTCTCTGGTTATAGTTAGGAAACGGAAAACCTTCCTAATGCCATAGAAACGTAGATGGTATAAATCTGGTGGGCGCATTTTATTTTTATTTCCCTCTTTTCAAATATAGAAGACCGTGTCATAGTTTAACCCCCCCCCCCCCACTTTTTCTTAAAGACAGCTAGGTCAATACACAGATATAAAACTTACAATGGAAGAAGATCTTAAGAGTTCCATGAATAAAATTCAGTTCCGCTGATGTGATCTGATATTTTAGCAGCTTTCAGTGTTCTTCTGTTTTGTCTATAGAATTTATGATAATTTTATTTACAATTAAATTATCTTTAAAAAGTAGAGATTGTCAGCTGTATTCATTAGCATTTCACAATTTCTTGATAAGAGACTACTTGCATATGAATAACTTCATTCAATGATAGTGAGTATCATTAAAATTTTAATTTCCATCGTTTTTATTAATTTGAACTGGGATCCGCTCCCGCACTTGCCTGAAGGCCTCATCACTACTGTTTATATATAGTACACCGGAAATGTACGTTTATGATTCTGCTAAACTATTAGAAAGTTTACACATACTTTATCATCTCCTATAAAAAAAAATAGCCCCTGTCCTATGTAAAAATACGCGATTTGAGGAGGAAACTTCAGGAATTATTTTGCTTCAGCCGTGTTTTGACGTGAACCTGGTATTCTGTTAATTAACTAATTAATGTATTCCGTCTTCTACGGAAGGCCTTCTTGTTATTCCTGATATCAGAGAAAAAAAATATTTTACACCAATCAGGTCTCTCAAAAACAATTTTCAGATAATTATTTAAATTATAATAATATATTCTTTTATTAGCTCACCTGAGCCAAAGGCTCAAGTGAGCTTTTCTGATCAAAATTTGTCCGTTGTCTGTCGTCGTTGTTGTCGTTGTTGTTGTAAACTTTTCACATTTTCATCTTCTTCTCATGAACCACTGGGCCAATTTCAACCAAACTTGCCACAAAGTATCCTTGGGTAAAGGGGATGATTCAAGTTTGTTCAAATGAAGGGCCACGCCTTCTTCCAAGGGGAGATAATTAAGAATTCGTGAAAAATTAATGGCATCATTAAAAAATCTTCTTCTCAAGAACCACTGTGCTTGAAAATATGAAACTTATGTGGAAGCATCCTCAGGTAGTGTAGATTCAAGTTTGTTCAAATCATGACCCCTGGGGGTCAGATGGGGCCACAATGGGCGATCAAAGTTTTACATAGGAATATATAGGAAAAATCTTTCAAAATCTTCTTCTCAAGAACAGCAAAGCCATGATTGGTCATATTTACATTGAAGCATTCTCAGGTAGTGTAGATTCAAGTTTGTTCAAATCATGACCCCCGGGGGTCGGGTGGGGCCACAAAGGGCGATCAAAGTTTTACATAGGAATATATAGGAAAAATCTTTAAAAATCTTCTTCTCAAGAACAGCAAAGCCATGATTGGTCATATTTATATGGTAGCATCCTCAGATAGTGTAGATTCAAGTTTGTTCAAATCATGACCCCCGGGGGTCGGGTGGGGCCACAAAGGGCGATCAAAGTTTTACATAGGAATATATAGGAAAAATCTTTAAAAATCTTCTTCTCAAGAACAGCAAAGCCATGATTGGTCATATTTATATGGTAGCATCCTCAGATAGTGTAGATTCAAGTTTGTTCAAATCATGACCCCCTGGGGTCGGGTGGGGCCACAATGGGCGATCAAAGTTTTACATAGGAATACATAGGTTAAATCTTTAAAAATCTTCTACTCAAGAACAGCAAAGCCATGATTGGTCATATTTAAATGGAAGCATCCTCAGATAGTGTAGATTCAAATTTGTTCAATTCATGACCCCCCCCCCCCCCGAACCACTTTTTTATTTAAACTTTTCAACCTTTCAAGACTGAACTGATTTCTGCTTTTTCCTAGCCATAGTGCTCAAGTGAGCGATGTGGCCCCTGGGCCTCTTGTTTAGCTTGTGTGTGGAAAGGAAGGAGGGGGCTTTTTCAACATATAATCACTTTTTTAAGTATTGGAACAATCTTACAGCTTATGGTTCAGTTCGGGGTGTCATACGCTCTTGCTTGCAACAGCAGATTTTCTAGCTTTTATTGATTTTCTAAATCTTTTGTCTCAGAATTAGAGTATTGAACAAGTGAAATGATTGTCATATTACTTGCAATTATGAAAATATAACACTTGTCCTCAAATCATATTACATAGTTTGATCTGGAATTGAAAAAGGTATGTCTATAAATAGTAACAAGTGATTTCCTTTTAAATTCTAGAGTCGTGTCCTCGGAAAGGCAGTTATGGCTCTTTACAATATGGGTATGATCCCCAGGTAAAAAACAGTCAGGTGTAACAAATACGAAGGGTTTAAAATAACCCTGTGAAAGATAATATGGCGTATGGCTATTAATGTGTTCGCTTTTTATAGAGGAAATAAAAGATGAATGGATGAATGAATTGGACTATTGAAATGCCTAATTCTGGTATTTTTTTCTCTCGTAGATTCACGCGTCATGGACAGTTACAAAGTGCGGAAGACAAAGATATCAAGTGAGCATCTATCTAGAAAAACAAATAACTGCATTTGCCGAGCTTTAAACATCTTCTTTAAAATAGCTTTTCAATTATACAGAAACAAATATTACATTTCATTGATAGATGAAGCTACATGTTAATATTCATTAGAGTATAAAACAAATACATGTATTAATAATTCAATCACATTTATATACAGCAAAACTCGGTTATAGCGAAGTTCTGGGGACCTGCAAATCCGTAATTCGTTATATCCTTATAACGAATTCGTTAAAGTATGTATAGAAATTCGTTATATCATTTTTTCCCTTAAAGCATGACTATCAAATGTATTAAGGGAAGTTTAAAATATGAAATTTATCGTGGAGTTCAAAAGTTTTGGAATGAATTGAGTTTCAGATATTTATACTTACAAAATTATTATCAGTTTAATATTTTAAAAAATAAGATCTTTAAAACTTAGTTATAAAAGATGTAAATTTTGTTACATTTAACTTCTAGGAGACACAAAATCAGTTCGCTATAGCCGTAAATTCGCTATATCCAACCAGACCCAACCTGACACCTAAGCAGTCCCAGAAAGCAGTCCCCGGGACTGCTTTGGGACTGCTCTGGGACCGCTGTGGGACTGCTTTGGGACCGCTGTGGGACTGCTCTGGGACTGCTGTGGGACTGCTCTAAAAAGCAGACCCAGCGGTCCCAGGGACTGCTTTCTGGGACTGCTTTGTTAACTCATGCATGAAAGAGGTTCTGAGTGACATGATAGCTCCGTCCCCTTGTGTATTCTGAATTTGCAGTCTCCCTGTTGTTGTTTTGTTTACTTTCAGCAGAGTGGTGTTTAAGATAAAAAATAAAAAAAACAAGGATTTCTTACAAAATTTTAACAAGTAGAGATATATACATGTAATTACTATATGTCTTCAGGGGCTCTAAATTTACACAATTGTAGTCTAGGATTATTTTTTTTTAAAAGGAAGTAATTAAAAAGGGAAGTCAGGAGATGATTTTTATCCCTTAAATTAAACTTTAATACAAGTGTTTGAAGCAAAATTATCTAGGCCTGTTTAATTAATTAATGCTATCAAATTATGTACTCAAAGTTTTCATTAGCACTATTTAAAAAAAACCCATGTTATTATAGTAAGATATTCAGAGGGAAGTACTGTACTGGATTTTTTTTTAATTGGAAAAAGCTAAAACCATGCTAAAAAAAGCGCATTCCATGCTATCCATGCTATTTTTTACCGCCCTCAAATAAAACCTAATAATTTTTTTATAAATGACCATGAAATAAAATTATTCTACCATTCTTCCGTTATATAAACAATGTGAACAAGTATTTGGGGATTTATTTATGAATTAGTTTTTAATTTATAAACAAGTAATTAAATAGGTACATTTATTAAAAAAAATAATCATTTGAAAATATCGGGAATTGTGTGTTGTCAAGACTTGAGGTTTCAATCGCCTTTGGGCATGATTAGCAGAAAGTCAATGAATGGTATCAGCGTTACACATCGCTGAACACGCTGGTCAACAATGACACTATTTTCAATCTGTGAACTGCAAAAAATCTTTGTTTCAATAAATGTGTATAGATTAATTTCGGGATTAATTAATTTAAAACATCATCTGAGAGTTCCATTCTCGTGATTTACAGATGTACACTCGAACGTTTATATAATAAAACACTTAAAACTGAATGATATTGTTTTCTGTTACATAGAGAATCTAACAATAATTAAGTTGGCAAGTCAGTGAAAATAGTCATGACTGAAATATAATACTCGGCAAAATTTTACAAAGAATTTTTCAAAAGCCCCAGTACTTTCCAGTAAGAAAAAAGCATTCAGAGTATAGTATGGGAATCGGCCTTGCTCTATAATTATAAAATCTATTTAAACTAATTCTGATAGAAAAAAAATAATTCAAGTTTAATTTTAAATAAAAATAAATAAATATGGAAACCAATATCAATCACAGAAAATTAAGAAATTGATTTATTTTGGTGAAAAATTAATATACCACATAACTTTGTTTAAATATTCATGTTATTAGTAGGAGTGAACACCTTCTTTGTTAAATATTTATTATTTGTTTCTATAAGCGTACTGTGATTTCTTAACAGTTCAGAAATGACTGTCACACAAGAATTAGGTACCGTCTCCTGTTATCTTTCCCTTAGAGGGCGCCACAGGCAAACTCGGTCCCGTATCGGAATACCCTCGCGCATTATCAGTATCTAACTATCAAAGAAAACGTAAACAAACCGCTGTCAATCTCTTTTTTTTAACATGCCTGAAACTTGCTGTTGTGTACCAGAATGCAGTAATCGAGGTGGACATGTGTTTCCCTCTGATCAATCAAGAAGAAAAATTTGGATCCATGCAATTAAACGCGGCGAAGCCCGTTTTCAAAGTTGGGAACCTAAGACACATGCTGTTGTATGCAGGGCACACTTTAAAGCTGATGACTACGTAACTGAAACTCAACACGGTATTTATTTATTTTTTAATCAGCTTAAAACTTTATTAACAAAAAATATTAAGAAAATGTTGCATTTTCCATGTAAATACTTTAATTGCAATTAATTTACGATGAACCTGTTCCAGACACTGACACATGCATGCCAATATTTGACTCCCGCTGACATTCCCGATTACACTTGTGATCCAGTAAACAAGAAGCATGTCTGGCAGCTCTATAAAACTTCTGGTAATCTATTTATGCATATGTAATAAGCATGATAAGAAATCGTCTTTTGTTTATCCTTTTATTTTCATCTCACACTGTTTAAATCTCTGCATGAACAGATGAAGTCTGACTTTGTATAAGTCGGACTTTGTATAAGTATGGATAATAATGTAACTAATTTACTGGCTAATTCAATGTGAATTTGAGAAATATATATATATAAATAAATAAATAAATATATATATATATATATATATATATATATATATATATATATATATATATATATATATATATATATATATATATATATATAGAATAAATTAAGATTCATATTTTGTATCTTACTAGATAATAAAATTTTAAACATGTTAAAAATTTGTTTCAAAATAAATAAATTATTTTCAAGGAACTACACCCCTGAGTAAAAGACTTAAGAAAAGTGCGGTCCCTAGTATTTTTTCCTGGGTTGAGCCAAGTCCCCATTCACAAGCCAGATCCGATAGAGCAAAGTCCAGGGGTATCAAGCAAAATTAGCAGAGGAATTTTCTTCCCAGTCAGAGGATGTAGAAATTATATATGCAAGTGATGAACTGCAAACAACCGAAGAAGTAGTTTTTGATTCAACAATTGTAACTGAAGCTTCAGAGATACCCAAAATTGAAACCAACATTTTTTTCAAAATGTGGAGACCCAAACACCTAAATATCCTCCAATGAGCATAGACAATTTTACAAATGATGATGCTGGTGTTCAGTTCTGTACTGGCCTGGAAACACTACGGAAATTTTACTTTGTTTTGAGAACTCTGGGCCCAGCTGCCTATTATTTGAACTATGTGTATCATCAAATTTCAAACATCAGTGTTCCTGATCAGTTTTTAGCTCACCTGAGCCGAAGGCTCAAGTGAGCTTTTCTGATCACATTTTGTCTGTAGTCCGTCTGTCCGTCTGTAAACTTTTCACATTTTCGACTTCCTCTCAAGAACCACTGGGCCAATTTCAACCAAACTTGCCACAAAGTATCCTTGGGTAAAGGGGATGATTCAAGTTTGTTCAAATGAAGGGCCACGCCTTCTTCCAAGGGGAGATAATTAAGAATTTGTGAAAAATTAATGGCATCATTAAAAAATCTTCTTCTCAAGAACCACTGTGCTTGAAAACATGAAACTTATGTGGAAGCATCTTCAGGTAGTGTAGATTCAAGTTTGTTCAAATCATGACCCCCGAGGGTAGGGTGGGGCCGCAATGGGCGATCAAAGTTTTACATAGGAAATATACAGGAAAAATCTTTAAAAATCTTCTTCTCAAGAACAGGAAAGCCATGATTGGTCATATTTATATGGTAGCATCCTCAGGTAGTGTAGATTCAAGTTTGTTCAAATCATGACCCCCGGGGGTCGGGTGGGGCCACAATGGGCGATCAAAGTTTTACATGGGAATATATGGGGAAATCTTCAAAAATCTTCTTCTCCAGAACAGCAAAGCCAAGATTGGTCATATTTACTTGGAAGCATCCTCAGGTAGTGTAGATTCAAGTTTGTTCAAATCATGACCCCCGGGGGTCGGGTGGGGCCACAATGGGCGATCAAAGTTTTACATAGGAATATATAGGAAAAAATCTTTAAAAATCTTTTTCTCAAGAACAACAAAGCCATGATTGGTCATATTTATATGGTAGCATTCTCAGGTAGTGTAGATTCAAGTTTCTTCAACTCATGACCCCCGGGGGTCGGGTGGGGCCACAATGGGCGATCAAAGTTTTACATAGGAATATATTTGGGAAAATCTTCAAAAATCTTCTTCTCAAGAACAGCAAAGCCATAATTGGTCACATTTACATGGAAGCATCCTCAGATAGTGTACATTCAAATTTGTTCAAATCATGACCCCCGGGGGTCGGATGGGTCCACAATGGGTGATCAAAGTTTTACATGGGAATATATGGGACAATCTTCAAAAATCTTCTTCTCAAGAACAGCAAAGCCATGATTTGTCACATTTACATGGAAGCATCCTCAGATAGTGTACATTCAAATTTGTTCAAATCATGACCCCCAGGGGTCAGGTGGGTCCACAATGGGCGATCAAAGTTTTACATAGGAATACATAGTAAAAATCTTAAAAAAAACTATTTGTTAAGAATAGCAGAGCCATGATTGGTCATATTTATATGGTAGCATCCTCAGATAGTGTACATACAAATTTGTTCGAATCATGACCCCCGGGGGTCGGGTGGGGCCACAATGGGCGATCAAAGTTTTACATAGGAACACATAGTAAAAATCTTTAAAAAAAACTATTTGTTAAGAATAGCAAAGCCATGATTGGTCATATTTATATGGAAGCATTCTTAGATAGTGTACATTCAAGTTTGTTCAAACATGACCCCTGGGGGTCGGGTGGGGCCACAATGGGTGATCAAAGTTTTACATAGGAATACATAGGTTAAATCTTTAAAAATCTTCTACTCAAGAACAGCAAAGCCATGATTGGTCATATTTAAATGGAAGCATCCTCAGATAATGTAGATTCAAATTTGTTCAATTCATGACACCCCCCCCCCCAACCACTTTTATATTTAAACTTTTCAACCTTTCAAGATTGAAGTGATTTCTGCTTTTTCCTAGCCATAGTGCTCAGGTGAGCGATGTGGCCCCTGGGCCTCTTGTTCCTTGTGCTTTGTAAATTACGCCGCCACACTACAAATTTTGAACTGTCAAGACTTTTTGGCATTTCTGAAGAAAACAGTCTCAAATATATTTTTACCTGGATTCTATTTATGAATAAGCAATGGCGTGAAATTGATTTGTGGCCTTCAAGACATCTAGTTAAATATTTTTGCCCGTCAGATTTTAAAATAAAATTTCCAAATACAAGGGTAATTATTGATGCTACTGAATGTCCCATTAAGAAACCAAAACTTCCTAAATCTCAGTAAGCCACTTTTTCTACATACAAAAACCGTAACACTGTGAAGGTTCTTGTTGGAGCAACACCAGGCGGTTTGACATCCTACATCTCTACAGCCTATGGCGGATCTACAAGTGATCGTCAAATCGTTGAAAGAAGTTGTCTGATAGATATGTGCAATTCGGGTGATTCAATTATGGCAGACAAAGGTTTTAATGTGCAGGATATGTTTGTACACAAGAACATTCAAATTAACACGCCAATGTTTTTTAAAAAGAAAAATAGGATGTCCTGTGAAACTCTTATAAAAGATAGAAAAATATCCAGTAAACGTGTACATATAGAGAGAATTATTGGACTTGCAAAGACTTACAAAATTTTAAGTGAACCAATGAACAGTTCAGAATCAAAACTGTCATCTGAAATTATATACATTTGTTTCATGTTGTGTAACTTGAAGAATTGCATTGTGCCATCATATGCATAATTAATCAGATCTAATAAACACTGAATAAAAAGAGTGTTTTATAATTTAAACTTTTATTTACTTATTGCAATTACAAACACCTTCGTATGTTTTGTAAAACATTTTCTCAAGCAAGGCAGATTTGAAGTAAGTTTTGTAAAACTCATCCAATTTTTCTTTCATGTCATTTATAAATTTGTCATTTCTTTCGATAGAAAAAAACAAAATGTCATTAAAAGTGTACACGACAAATATGCATTTCTGTTTCTGAGCACAAAGAAGTTGTCCCTGAACCTGGTAGTAATAGTCATGTTTTTCATCAAGATAGAATCTGGTTCCAGATTGTCTTACATACGGTACAGTTTTAGAAGAAATGAAATTATTTCTCGCTACATATGGACATTTCACCTCCACCACAGTGTCTTCATCAATAATGCCATCAGGGGATGCTGCTAAGTATGGTGAGTCGAGACACACACATATTCCACTGTCATAAACAGTATTTCCAGTAATTTCTTGGTACTTTTTCAAAGTAGATTTTTCATATTTTCTGCCGTGAAGTATAGGCTTTGTGTTTAGTCTTTGTCCCTTTTCTGTTAGGCGCTGAGCAAGTTTTGCTTTGTCTGTCCTATCTGTAGCTTTACATATTCTTCCATACAAAGATGAATGTAGGCGCTTACACCGTTCTTCAAACCACAGATCATTAGTTGCCTGGGTTGCCGTTTTCACCATTACCTGCCTTGCAGACTCTTCAGAAGTTTCTGACACATTTATTAATTTCAAATGTCTCTCACTAAATGTGTCCTTGAGGTAATCATGGTCCAGGTCAAGTGCCCTCATGTTTGCAGGCTCATATAACTGGAATATTGGGGTGCTGCTTATTCCTGGGAAATTCAAACACACACTTCTGAAATATGAAGAGTAACCATAGCTATTTTGATATTTTAAAGGACGGGGGTCATATTCACTGTTACATATTTCATCGCAGCCAGGCATGTCCATGATCCGTGCTTTCAGGGGGCTTCCTTTGTGTGGTTTAGCTCGGTGGAAAGTTTGAATCATTTGTGTACAGGTTAGTTCTGTTTTAACACTTCCACGCTTCATAAAATCTGAGCATGCAAACAGAACAGCACACACATGTTTACAATGTGCATCTGGCCCCATGCCTGCAGCACATTCACACTGGGATTCAACAACACTCTTGTCCTGACCAATCATGACATCAACAATATACTTTACTGATTTCATCATAGAGGCTTTCACTGAACTTCTGATAAACCAGTGTAAATCATGGAATACTACTTTCACATACTGGATGAAACCATCATTATACATGTCTCTAGCTTTCTTGTCCATTATCTTGTTAAACTTTAACAAGAAGGCAGAGATATCTGAATCAGTACATCCTGGAAATGCCTGGCCACTATGGAGGTCTTTATAAAGCTGTGGATCTGGGGTCATCATGAGGAACTCAGGTCCAGAAACGTCAGTCTTTGCACAGTGGGCATTTCTTTTGTAAGCTTCAAGTCTGTAAAAAAAGTATTATCATAGTTAAATTGATTAAGTTTTTTTAAAATAGATAACAATATATTAAATCTTTTCATGATTTTGTGAATTATATGAGACGTACACTCACAGGAAAACAAAGACCACTCAGATGACAATGATTGAGGAAATTCAGGAAAAATATATAAGCAATAAAAACGATCGTTTTATATCTTTCCAAAAGACTTTTTGAATTAACTGGCGTTTTTAAGGCTATTTAAACACAGACCACTGATATTTTATTTCATTTAAATGTTTCCATAAGGTAACAAAAGAGTATAAAAAGATCGATCAGCTGTTTACATTGACATATATTTACCTCTCAACGAGCTCCCATTTTCTGCCGCTTTTTTCCGCACCGAGTTTTTCCAACTCTCTTTTTAGCTCAGGTATTGTCATAGCACCAAAATTTGATGCCATAGTGGGTAAATATATTTTGATACGTCTATTTTCTTCGAAAGTGATCTGTAGAATAATCGCCGATAAGCCATTGCTGCCATGCCTATCAGTTTTTGTGTTGGACCGCATTTGCCTGTGGCGACCCCTTACGGTGCAAGATAAGATAACTGACGCCGGTTCACCATCTATTGTTACTGCTCAGAAAGAAATGCATCATCAATTTCCATTGTCTTTTATAGTTACATTGTTTATTGGTAATCTCAATTCTGAGTAAGCTCCGCCCATTAAATTAATAAAGCCCGCCCACTGGGACTGCTGGGACTGCTTTCTCGGACCGCTGGGACTGCTTTCTCGGACCGCTGGGACTACTTTTTGGGACCGCTGGGACTGCTGTGGGACTGCTCTGGCACCGCTCTGGGTCTGCTCTGGGACCGCTCTGGGACTGCTTTAGCAGTCCCAGAAAGCAGTCCCCGGGACTGCTCTGGGACTGCTTTGTGTCAGGTTGGGTCTGGTTGGTACTGTATCTGTAAAATTTTACATTGAATAGTTAAGAATTTTGCCGGGGATTGCAAAAAACTTCGCTATATCCGTGTTCGTTCTAAACGAGTTTTATTGTAGATAGTTGTGTTGCTTTAGCAGTGTATAGAATTAATATAGAACGTTAACAGAAATCTACTAGTAATTTATTCAGAATCTTTCATAGACACACATGTCATGGGTGTTTCCTCGGGAAAGGGTTCAGTGTCATTTTTATTGATTTATTTTATAAATATAATGACTGAAATACTCCTGGAACACTTTCGAACCACCAGATCCTCACATGGTACGAAAGAGCAGAAAAGTGTTGATAATACACTTGTGCCTAGCTAGGGTTTTTGAATTACTAAAACCAGTATCAATTACAGGCTGGGATCCAGGATTTTTTTTGGGGGGTGGGGGTGGGGAGGGGTCACCCAAGTTTTCAAACGTGAAAAACTTATTTATTTATGTTTTGGGGGGTAAGGGTGTTGAACTACTTTCTGGAAAGAGCTATGAGCGAACTCTGGACCGTGGCTTGAGATGGGGGGAGGGGGGGGCAGCCATTTAAATCTAGTGGGTGGGGTGGAGCTGACAAATTTTGTCGAGTCAGATTATGTTCATACATGTACCTTAATATGTCAGAATATACATGTACATTATTTAATTCTAGGATGATAAGCGAAATTATTAAATTTTTTGTTCACTGAAAAAAAAATTTTGACAAGGAAACATGTGGAGGATGTGTGCAGGCATGTAGTATCTTTTTTAAAAACTTGTTAAAATAATGATTCATTGAAGTGGAATGTTAAGTAAGATTAGTTTGAATATTAAAGATGAACACGATTCGTAAAAGGTTTTGTAAATATTGTCATTCGACAGTCGCTATATAAAACACAAATTTGTTCAGATCAATGTATTTCGCTTCACGGAGTTTACCTGAACAGACATGTCTTTAATTGTCATTATGATAGATATGGGCGCGACAAAATGGACTTCTGTATGCCTCTAACACGTCAGGAAAAATAATTACTGAAGATATTCGATGCCGATTGCACTGGTCAATGCATTATAAAGTGAAATATACACAGAAATAAAACGTAACAAAAGACAATGTAAGACATACATGTACATGCTTGAAATGGGACTTAAGTACAGTCTTAAATTTAAGACCGTAACTAGAAGCGTGCTAAGATTTGACAATCTTAGCAAACTTAGGCGGTCGGTAGAGGTGACTTAAGTATGTCTTAACTTTTTTATGCGCATATTGAGAACTATTAATTGAATCAGACGTTAAAACATTCCTCTATTCATAGTATAAATTAAAGGAAACAAATAGCTCTATTGATTACAGGGATAAGAATTTTAGCTTTTCGTCGGGGGGGGGGGGCTCATGTTGTAAATTTTGTATTTACTGCCACCCGGTAAATTCAAAAGAGCCATAGCGCATTTGATAGGCATTTTTGCCTACTCTACTAGTGATTTCTTAGATGTATTATTTAACCAAAATTTTGTCATATAAACTTAGATTATAAATGCATAAAACTAAATCACACAATAATGATACTTCAGTGTTGATAGCTCCCTCATATGATAAATATTACTTAAAAAATTATCCAGTTTGTATGGAGTATATAGCAAATATTGAGGTTTCCACCTAACGATGACAAACTGTTGCCAAAGACCACCCTTAACCAGAGAAACAACTTTAGAATAATTTTATTTAGATATGACTGCACTTCATTACATGTAGATAATTTTGGTTAAAGGTGGTCTTCATATGGAAAATGATGAAAAATTGTTTGCAATTTTTCTTCTCATGATTGTAAGATTTAACAATCTGTCTTGAATTTATCCTTTCGACATCATTGACTTCGTTGGCGCTGTCTTTTTTTTTTTCTGGAATATAAATATGATGATTGCGAGTTCGAACCCCACATTTTTCGCTTTTTAATTATGTCACCCGAACGAAGTCGGCGGACATATTGCTATTGTACGCATGAAAATGTTGTCCGGGGACTTTCTGGCAGATGGCTGGGGCAATGTTGCTGAAACTTTCCATAAAGATGATGACCAGCTGTATATATGTGGAAAAAATTTTCAGTTTCAACATGGCTACCGTTGCCATGGAAACGTACGATAAGTGAAGAATTTTGTCCAGAAGTGTTCTCACTGATATCTTAGGCAATCGTGATGAATCTTCATAGAAATGATAACCAGTAATTGTAGTTTTGCAAATGGCGTTTAAAATTTTCAAACCACCAATCGTTGCCATGGAAACAGAAGAAAAGTAAAAATTGCTAAACTTTGATTTTCTCATAAACTGCTCAGGCAATTGTTTTGAAACTTGTACGGATTGTTCCTTACATTCTGTCAAAGTAATTTCTATTTTAAAAATTAGAATCTTTTGCAAACAGTTGCCATACGAATAAAAGAAACAGAAAAAAAGTTAATATTCATACAGATGTTTTCCGAGGTGGCTTGGACAATTGTGATGAAAATTTACAGAAATTATAATTAGACACTTTATTTGTTCAGTCAACATTCAAAATTTTTTAAATGCCTATCGTTGCCATGGAAACAGGAAAAATGGTATTTTTTTTAATTTTCATTTTTCTCTGTAACTTACTAACAAAGCAAACTATTCAAAACTTTATTGGTTTAATCCTTTCAATGTATCAAAGTGGTTTCTGCATAAAATAGAATTGACGGTCAGCGGAAGGAAGTCGGGACCATTAACTGTTTTTTATTCACCTTACTTTTGTCTTGGAGCGTTCTCGTAGAAGGCTTAGTAAATCTTTATGAAACTTCACAGAAATAAAGGTCAACACCTACAGTTGCCCGGATACATATTAAATTTTCAAAGGATATTTATTTAAAAACTAAAAAAATTCATATTTGCAGTTTCTTGATACCAGCGGCCAAAAACGTTGCATAAACGTTTATGCTTGATCTTTTTAAAGCTATAAATTATTCAATTTCTTTTTCTTACTAATTTCTTTTTTCCTAATATTCCTAGGGTACGTAAAGGCTAATCTATACAGCTTATATATATTACCAGTTTCTTGATATGGTTAAGAAGAAATAAAATATCTTAGCATTTCCAAACAACGTAGGGCCAACGTTTCTTAAACACTACAAACTTTTCATTTTATTTTCATTTAAGTAGTTTACGAGAACTGAAGCGCTTCAGTACACATGGAACGAAGTGTAGAGATAAAACTTCTCTGGTTATAGTTAGGAGACGGAAAACCTTCCTAATGCCATAGTGTTTCTATTAAGTTAAAAGAGTCGTATATGGTATATATCTGTGGGAGCATTTTATTTTTATTTCCCTCTTTTCAAATATAGAAGACCGTGTCATAGTTTACCCCCCCCCCCCACTTTTTTTAAAGACAGCTAGGTCAATACACAGATATAAAACTTACAATGGAAGAAGATCTTAAGAGTTCCATGAATAAAATTCAGTTCCGCTGTTGTGATCTGATATTTTAACAGCATTCAGTATTACTCTGTTTTGTCTATAGAATTTATAATAATTTTATTTACAATTAAATTATCTTTAAAAAGTAGCGATTGTCAGCCGTATTCATTAGCATTTCACAATTTCTTGTTAATATATTACTTGCATATGAATAACTTCATTCAATGATAGTGAGTATCATTAAAATTTTAATTTCCATCGTTTTTATTAATTTGAACTGGGATCCGCTCCCGCACTTGCCTGAAGGCCTCATCACTACTGTTTATATATAATACACCGGAAATGTACGTTTATGATTCTGTTAAACTAAGAAAGTTTACACATACTTTATCATCTCATATAAAAAAAAAAATAGCCCCTGTCATATGTAAAAATACCCGATTTGAAGAGAAAAATTCAGGAATTATTTTGCTTCAGCTGTGTTTTGACGTGAACCTGGTATTCTGCTAATTAACTAAATGTCTTCCGTCTTCTACGGAAGGCCTCATAGGGACTTGAGACAATCTTAGCAAAATCAGGTATATAGTATAATAGGGGAGAAGGGACCTAACGAGCCGCCATTAATTCCTCGGTTCCTCGCTTCAAACTC